GTATTGTGTTACTTTGTGTATTGTGTTAGTTGGTGTTAGCTAGCTCAGAGTTGCCATGCTTTACTGTTTCTGAAGAGAGGTGGATCTTGCTGACTATGCAAGCAACAGCTTTTGCTGCTACTGCTGCTCTTGGTCCTTTTGTGCAGCACTGATTGCCCCCAGAAGAGACCACCTTGCTTTAGGGGTCTCTGGATTCTGGCTGAGCCTTTTTTCTTGTAATTTGCCCCTTTCCTGCAGTGGCATTGAGGGGTAAGGAATAGTTTAAACAGGTGCAAGGATATGTAAAGGAGGGAGGAGGCAAAGCAGGTACTATACAAAACTTTTGTCTCCAAAGAGTCTAGAAGAGATGGGCTGCAGAAAGAGACTTCTGTCTGGAGCCCATGAAACCATTCTGATTTCTTCTAACCACCTTTTCCTCTATTTCTTCACTCTCACACAATAAACCAAAAACTTTGCCCATGGTATTGCAAAGCCTATCCTGTACCATCATAGGGATATTGTAGGGATATCAGATGTCTCCCTGCAGGAGCCATTGTAGTTCGTTTTAAGATGCTTGGTGTTCATAGTGTCACGTGAAAAGGGGAAGAAATGCAGAGATTTCTTGTCCCACCTGTGTTAATACATTTTTTTATTGGCTATCAGTGTCCCCAGAATACCAAAGCCTTTTAAGGCCCAAAACAGTCTGTCCACACTTCACCTAAAGAGACCCTTCACTAGACAGATTCACTGTGATGGACAGGACTTTTGATGGGGACAGCTCTTAATAGCAATGGAGAACCTTCTCAGCAAGGTTCTCCTACAAGTTACGAGGCTGCCAGCACCAGAAACAAACTGGACTAACTAGCAGCTCACAAAATAACTTTTATTAATACCAGTATGTTACAAACTACTGTAGGGTTGGCGTCGCCGGTGATAATGTTTAACTGCACGATTGCACTTAACTAATAAAAAACCCAAAAACCAGAAGCACGCTCTACAAAACAACACAACTACCTAAGCCTTAGTACAAAACTCAAGCAACCGCCCTCCATGAGAGACCAGTTTACAAAGACTAGAACAAAATCTAAACACACTGGTTAACATAAAGCAAAAAAGAAAGAATATAGCCACTTCCCACTAACACACATTTTAACTCACTGAGATAAGGAAATGCACACCTTAAAGCAAACCATGAATGAGTTGGCAATAAAGTACAATATAGGACAAGAAAAAGAATAATATAAAGTAAGATATATACCTGGTAAGTTACAAAGTGTAGGGCAAGGTAAAATTAGTATCTATAAAGCAAAGTACAATTAGGAAATAAGCTATCTATGGGGTAAAGGTGAAAGAGGGTAATCTATAAGGTATAAAGCAAGGTCAGGGTAAAGAAAGCAGAGTAAATGGTTGCTCATCCCTACGGTGTCCAAAGGAGTGGAAGGAGACAGGGCAGCTCTTTAGTTACCCCCGCAGAGATGATGGAACTTCTTCCCGATTTTGCTCATGTCCGATCTCTTCTTATACTTTTTTTTTCTCAGGCAGTTTGAGTGACAATAGTCAATACTAATTTTGGGGGTGCTAGACGGATGACATAGGCCTAAGGGTTGGCTTCCTGTGTTCCAGTAGGATGTTGCAAAGAAAGGCCATGCTATTTCCATAACACTCCATCCTTTGTTAATCCTATGAGTATGTTGCTGGGAAGTCTCCCCATTTTGTTGAGGACTTTCGGGAAGCCATCTTTGTCCCTTTTTGTGTAACCCACTATCATCTGACATTGGGTTTCTGGGAATGCCCTCTCCAGATGCTGAGGTGTTTCCTGTAACCGATCAGGGATCAGGACGGTCATCATGGCCTTAAATTGGTCTATCACACTACACATTGGGAGGGAGAGAAGGCTTGTGCTTTCTCTATAGATGCTCCATTCCTTGAAACATTTAAGGTTGGATTGGATGGGGGCCTGAGCACCCTGATCTAGTTGAAGATGTCCCTGCTTATTGCAGGGTGGTTGAACCAGATGGTATTTAAAGGCCCCTTCCAACCCAAACTATTACATGATTCTATATTTGGTCAGTACAAGACACTATTTTGTTAATTCAAATCACATTTGAATTTCCTAGTAAGGCAGTAAGCACATGCCTTCTCCCTCTGCCATGGGACTTCAAAAAGGATTTAAAATTGTTGGAAATTAATGGTTAGCTACTTAACTGAGACTACAGAATAAAGTTTTTAAGTGCAATCAACATGAATTTAACGGTAAACTGTCCAATTTTGCCTTCATAGGATCTCTTCCACATTCCTCCTTCTTACAAAAGTACAATTACACTGTCCTGGAAACCAGTACAGAAGGCAGATGCAAGGTAAGAGTTCTTAATTTTAAAAAAAAGTGGTGTTTGTTTTGTAAACAGTAAAAATTAACTTCCAAGCTGTGTATATTATATATACACAGCACATGAGATGAAAGTTTCACATCTTGTGGCTGTGGAAACATTATCTTAGTCTTGCTTAGAGATACAATAGACTGAATCAACTGGAGACTAGCCTACTTCCTCTTCTGAGATATTATTATTCAGGGCATCTTCATTAGCTGCTGCTGGCTTCCAGTGGTTAATCCTTGCGGCTAAACTACTATTCCTGTACTTGTCACCACAAGGGTGTAATGACATGTTTTTGTTTTCTTCTGTCAGTCAAAAAAGAGCAAGTGAAGATACAACCTCAAGTTCACCCCCAAAGAAAGTTTCAGCAGGACCAAAAAGGGATGCCAGGCAAATATATAATCCTCCTAGTGGAAAATACAGCAGTAATCTGGGTAGTTTTTCTTACGGTAAGTTAGGCAGTTTGGAAAAACTTTGTCTAGTGACAGTTGTATCTCAGGGTGGGGGGGAACAAATACCACATTCTTGGAAGATCAAATTGTACTGTCACAAATTTTTGTGTATAGTGGTCTTTTCTTAGCTGTTGATCTATTGCAGTGTTTGAGTGTTACCAGCCTATAAACAATGTCATTTGCAAGTTACTTTTAGTAATGTTTTAATACCTAGAGTTAGTAATTGAACTGTTGTGTTCTCTATTATGACACACAGCACTTGCACCAATTTCCCATTGGACAGGCCAGTTGCTGCAAGTGGCAGAGCTGGGTCACCTCCTGTCATACGACTGGACCTGTGCTGCATTCCTATTACAGCCACTGCTGATGTTGCAGACCTGATCCAGAAGTTCTGGGAATTGCCAGGTTCACTGTGCATCCACAGTTATGTCCTCGTGCTCCCAGTCACACTGATTCTGTCTCTCTGCGAGTTGTATTTTTGGGTGAAGCACAAGAGCAGTTGCAGACTGGATGAGTAAGCCCAGCAATGGCAGCAGCCCATTCCTGTCTTCCCTGTAGGTCCATTGATCCTCCTTCTGGCAAGTAAAGAGGCTGGTATGACAAATTATCACCCACGCTCATAGGTTGAAAAACTGATACAAAGCACTGTCAGATATATAAAACTAATACCTCCAGATATTGCTATTCCGTTTTAATCTGTATTCAGCATAAAACCTGCATGAAAAGTTTCAACTCTTATTTCAGAGCAAAGAGGTGGTTTCCGGGGTGGACGAGGAAGAGGCTGGGGAGGACGTGGCAATCGTAGCCGAGGAAGAATCTACTGAGAAGACTGCTAAATCTTCCATGCCCCTGAAGGGCTGAAGTGAGAGTGCTACTCAGCAAGTGTTTGCTTGGAGCATTGTTTTCTTCAAGGACTGCCTTCCACTAAGACTGAATTAAATGTTCTTTATACCTTTGTATGTATGATCTACTTTTCTAACGGACTACAACTTGTCCATAGTGAAACTACAGCTGTATTTTTGGATGCTTACAGTCAGCAGTTTTGGGTTCTTAATTTTGAAGTGTCTTCAGGATTCAAAATTGGAAAAGAGCGTAGATGTTTCATCAAAAGCTGCATCTTGACAGTTTGTATATTAACCTAAAAGTCAGCTACTGCGTAACTGAAACTATATAATTGAGTTTATGTATTAAGTAATGGACAGGAAAGGCATGGCAACAGAGATACGTGTCAGATTAGCTTAGCAGCTGAAGTAATCCTTTCCTCATTTGTAACTGTATTTTGCAATATGTGGAGAAGAGTACCATTGTTAAATTTGCTTTGATTTGCATTTTTAATTAAATTGAATGAGATACATGCTGGTTTTTTAAAGTTTGCAATGTGGCTAGAAATCTGTTTTGCTTGTAGCATGATGCAGTCCTCTTACTTAGAGATGTGGAGAAAGTGGTGTTTTTTGGTTTGCACATCTTACTCTTCTCCGTGCATTGTAATACAAAAGTGATGTTTTGCAAATTAATTTTTAATGTTTAATATGAATATGTGCTTATAGTTATGCTGTGAAAGCTCAGTAAATGAACAGCAAAAAAACAAAACAATAAACGACTAGAATTATTCCAGGAATGGGTAAAGACTGATGCAGTGATTAAGCTTCATAGGCTGGAGCTGGACCATAGCAGTACCTGGCTCTTTTCTGTGTTTTGCAGATTTCTGGATTAGTTGGCACTGGAGGGTGGGGGTTGGTTGATTGGGGGGTTTTTTCTTGTTTGGTGATTTTATTTTTTTTGTGTGTGTGTGTTAATTTTTTCTTTGGGGGTTTTTTGTTTGGTTGTTTTTTTAACCAATAGTTGCATTTAAAAATATATAAATAAAATTGTATTTTGGGTAACACTGAAAAATTCCAGCTATGTAGTTCAATTCAGATGGAAGAGTTAAAAATTCCATGCTATTTTTTTCCATAGGAACTTGGGATTCTTATTTACTGGTGTACACCCAGAAAATACAAAGTAAAAGCACAAAGCTTTTTTTTTTTTTAATTCTCGCCACTCAAAGTTTTTAATTCTCAGGTCATTCAACATTGTAAAGAAATTAGCATACAGTAAAAAGAAGTTTGGACAGAGGAAAAGAATTTTAATTAAGTGTTCCAGGGCGTGTTGGTGTAAAATACCTTAGGCTTTAGAAGAATAAATAATACTACTTATCCTGCCTTTTTTTTTTTTTTTGTTCAGCCACTTGATATCTACAGAAGGTGATGTCTCCCCACTCTGGTTCTATTTGTATTTGCTTGTGAATCTGACTCAGGTGTTTTCATTAACACTGATATTTATCACTACAGTCAGATGGCCAAAATACCAAATTGTCAAAGTGAGAGACATTGTTGATGCTAAATTAGAAGTCTGGTTTTGCTTAACTCTGGAACACTAGGCAGCAAATTTTGGACATTCCAGGACATGTGAGCTGACTGTATTAATGATTACCTGCCAGCTGCTCAAATTTGATTTGTCACAAAACCCATAAAACTTGGCAAAAAGCTTTCAAGGACAAATTTGTGAGACCAAAATGTCACTCTGAAAATAGGCACTAGATGTGTAATAAGCTTCCATTGGAGGAAAAAAGGAGGAAAAAAAAAGACATTTTGCACTTGTGACTATAATCGGTGTTTTGAGGGGATTTAAAAATGTAATCTCAAAGCCTAAACATAGCTTGTATTTAGACTAGTAGCTAGGTGCTAGCAGCTTATTTTCTCACTGAATTTTGAGTGAGTTTTCTTTACATGAGTCCTGTATTTCAGAAGTGATGTGCAAAGTTCTTGTGGCCTCAGTAGTTATTTTTCCCCAGTTTCACATCTAATTTTAATGCAGTGAGTTCTTGTGGAAACACCTTTTTACCATCTTGTTGAATTGTACATGTTCATGTTCCCTTACAGCTTTGGAATAAATTCATTTTGTAATTTTGTTCGACTCATCGTTTCACAGTTACTCTGCAACATTTTGTGTTGGCTTAGTAAAAGGGTTCTGTGGTACCTTTTGGTCATAGTTCCCTTACTCCTTAGATTGCTATAGATGTCTAAAGCTTTTTGCCATTAAGGAATATATTGGAGCAAGACTGTGTTAGCTGTTTCAACTTTTAAGTAATTCACCTTTAAATGCAAAGTTTTGCCTAGGAATTTAAATATTCAGCAAAAGCTGCATATCATACATCTTATTTGGAACCGGGTGAAAAGGAGTCAGTCATTGTCTTATGCAACCTCCTAGATGTTGACAGTGTGATACAATTCGTTGGTATCTTATGATAGAGGAAGACTGACTTGGAGTGGCAGCCTGGGGTTTTTTTGTGGAATCTGTAATATGCCTGATGTGTAAACTCTGGCAGTGGTAAGGAACTATCATACTTTTGCGGATATTTTCTCTAGGCTGACAGAAACTGAATCCCTTGCATTGGTTTAACCACTGACACCATCTGGAAACTTGTTTCCACTTAATGGGTTTTGAGTTACCGCTGAATTTTACTGTTTAACAGGCTCCAGGAAGTTTGGTGTCCCCAAGAAGCAGGACTGGTAGGTAACACAGACCTTTCGGTCAAACAGAACAAAATTTGAATGTGGCAGCTTTTAGATCTCACTCAGGACTGGAAAACAGGCTCTCACTCCTGGGTTGGTATTTACTCTTAACTGCAATGGGAAAGGAAAAGTTCAGATGTTTCTGTGTAACTGAAAAGCATTAGAAGGGAAAAGGAGCGATGTGACTTTCAGAACTCCCTTCACCCAGCTCCTCCGGGGGCTGTGGATAAAAACCTGTGGATAGCTGCAGGTACGGTTCGGTTTGCGATGGGCATACGGTCGTTTCCTCAAGCTCAAGCCGTGGCGAATGTCCGAGTGTGCACTAGACAGAAATTACATCCTTTAAATTACAGCGTTCAGCGCGGCGCCACACGCCGCTTGTTGGCACTTAACGCCGGCCTGGAGTTCCGGGCGGCGGCTCCGCCGTTACCCGCGGCTGCCACAGCTCCAGGAAGGCCCCGCTGGCCAGACCCGGCTCCCCGCGAGGGAGAAGTCGCTTCGCGGAGCCCCTGCCGCGCCTCCGCTCCTGTGCCTCCGCCCAGGGGCTGCGCCGGTGCTGCCGTGGGGTCAGGAGAGCGCTCGGGCCGGGGCTCCTGACGCGGCCCGAAAGGACGCCCCGCGGCCACCCTGGGCCCGGCCGCACCGCCCCGCAGCGCGAGGCACCGCCCGCTCCCAAAATGGCGGCGGCGGCCGTTCCGGTTCCGGAGGGTGCGAGCAGGCCGGGATTGGGGAAGATGGCGGCGGCTGGCGCGTCCGGGCGGGGTGGGCTGGGGCGGGCGTGGGTCTTCTCCGGCTGGGCCCTGGGTCTGTGCTCGCTGCTGGCCTCGGGGACTCGGCCCGCCGCTGCTACCACCCACTGGGTGGTCACCGAGGATGGGAAGATCCAGCAGCAGGTGAGCGGCCCGGGGGGCGCGGGGCGCTGCCCACCCGCTGCGGAGGCACGGAGAGCCCCTGCCCGTGCCACCGCTCACCCGCAGCCCCGGCCTGCCCCGAGCGGTGCGGCGCAGGGGGACGATGGCCCTCGGCCTGGAACGAAGCCCTGCCTGTCCCGCAGCCGCTGCAGCAGCCGGGAGACAGTGCTGGACGCTCCCGGCGGCCCGGCACGGGGTCTCCCGTGGCAAGCCGGCGTCGCTCGCGAAACATGGCTTGAATCCGCCGGAGCCGCGGGGGGAGGCGGCGGGGAGGGGCGGCCGCTGAGTCCAGGCGAGCCGAGAATGGATTTCAGCTGGAATAGTGTTTGGAGCAGCGGTGTTTCGTGCTTAGAGGCCGTCTCCCGGAGCTCCTCCGGCACGAGGCGGGTCCCGCTTCGGTGGCGAAAGCGGCGAGACCGCGACCCCAGCCCACAGCCGTGACCCCCCGCGGGGCCGGGAGCGCTCCCGGCGCGGCCCCTGCCCCAGGCACTCCCGGGCTTCTCGCCGCTGCCGGCGCAGCCCCAGGTATCAGTGAGTCTGCGATTTTTTACATCCCGCCGCTCCCGACCCGGCCGCATTCCCTTCCTGCTGAAAGTGGGAAAGAAACGGTGGCGTGTGTGCTCGGTGCAGAAGCACACGCGCGCCCTGTTATGCGGTAGTCTTGTGGGTTTAGCCAAAATGTCATATTTTGATAGCGGGCTGCGCCTCATGTTCACTGAGCGGCTTGAAAGAGTCGATAAGCGTTTCATGTTTGGGCTTTTTCTTAGTTGCTTGGCTCCCTCTTTGTTGGAAGGGGAATAGCAGCAGAAATTCACTTTCATGTCAGATCTGATCGGTTTCCCTCTGGAGCGGAAGAGTTAGTAGCTGTAGCAGGCAGTGTGGCCTTCCCCCCGTGAAAAAGTGTGGAGAATTGAGCGTCCATTAATATCACCTTCCTTGGCGAGGATTTTTAGTTGAGTCTCCTAACAAAATGCATTATGGTCCTCGGACAGGTGGAACAGACTTTCTCTGCAGGAAGCTTTTGTGTGTTTATGATTCCGGGGCACTTCGGCCATCTGTGTAGATTCAGGCATTCACACGCCCTAGTTAATCATAAATTAATGAATGACAACACTCCAGTGCTCTCTCATCTCCTTTCCCCACTTAATGCAGTGGGGGAGTGGTGCGAGTATGTGATAATGGCCTGGAAGCATCTGTATGTATGTACTGATTGTATGTTATAAAATTTGGGTCAAGTGTTGATTTTGATTATTGCATGAAAAGCAGCTGTGGCTTGAAAAAATATAATTAGATAAAATGGCTTGGAAATCTGATTAGCTAAATTCAGTACTGATTTTAAGAAATGACATTTTATGGTGTCAGCTAACTGATGGTACAGGTAGGAGCTTTCGCTGTACCATTCCCATGCAGTAGGCTTTTCTGTTACAGATCCAAATGTTTTCTAAGCGCGAGCATTCCCATGTTCCCTGTATAAAGTTTTCAAGGCCTGTTGTTGACGTGATAAAACAATATCTGTGGAATAATTTCTCTTACCTGCATGGTCAAAATTAATCCACCCATTTCAAGCAAGGAAACTTGAATTATAAATATGGTATTACTTGGAATATCAGGAACTGGCTTCTTCAGTAGCTGGAACATAGTGCAGCTGGAACATAATGCTGCTAAGTGTCCAGTGAGTTTTTTGTAATAAGATGTGTTTTGGCATCTATTAATTTCATCTCCCTGGCTCTTATACTTAAATTTGTGAATAAGAAAATTAGACTTAAATTTGTGGTTATTGCCATTGCCAGCCCTACGTGGTACATTTGAGTTTCATTTTTTCCACTTAGTTGTGTTTTGGGGAATGAGAGGACAAGTTTTACAGTGAACTTGAATGTTGTTTTAAATGCCAAAATATAGTAGTGGTTCAATAGTTAGCAACAAAAATGGCAGATAATCTCCACTGTCCAGCAATAGGAAAGAATTGTCATTGTCCCACTCTACACTACTGTACGCTCGTGCAGTCATACCTTGAGTTCTGGGTGCCTGTTTTGGGTGCCTCAGTGTAAGGTCATCAAACTATTAGACTGTGTCTGGAGGAAGGCAACCAATAAGGTGGAAGGTCTCAAAGGTAAGACTTAGGAGAAGCAGCTGAGGTCATTTGCCTTGTTCAGCTTAGAGAAGTCTAGGGAGACCTCATCACAGCCTAAAACTCCCTTAAGGGTGGCAGTGCTTGAGGAGGTGCTGATCTCCTCTCTCTGACGATCAGTGAGAGAACACGAGGAAACGGAATGAAGCTGTGCCACGGGAAGTTCATACTGGACTTTAGGAAAAGGTTCTTCACAGAGAGGGTGGTCAGTCATTGGAACAGGCTCCCCAGGGAAGTGGTCAAAACCTGCCAGAGTTGAAGCGGCATCTGGGCAGCACTGGAAGGATTCATAATTGATTTAACAGTTAATTGGTAGAACCTCAGTATTCCAAAATATATGAGCTATCCTTCTCCTAATACCAAGACTTTATTAACAAGACACAAACCTAGAACATCCCTGCAGAGTATCCCTGAGTATCCCTTTGCTTTAATTTTTCAGAATATTCTTAATTAATTTGTTATTTATCATGAGAACTCATTGGTCCGTTCCCACTTGAGATACTCTAGGATTCATTGGCAAAGGGAGCCTCTGCATGTTACGTGCTCCAGGGCACTCACCACCTCGAATGGGCTTTGCTGGCCTTGAAACCAAGGACAGAAAGCTAAAGTACCTCCCTCCACATGGGTGCCTGGTGGAGGGGGATAATTGCACCCCTCGCCCTGTTGGCTCCAGCCTTGCTGCTGCAGCCCTGGATGCAGTTGGCTGCCTCAGCTGCAAGGGCACACTGCTGGCTCACCACCAGCTTTTTCCCCACCAGAACCTAAACACTATTTCTGGAAAGCTGTTTTCCATTCAGCCCCAGCCTTTCCTGCTGCATGGGGCTATATCACCCTATGAGTTTGTTCTTGACGTTGTTGACTTCATAAGGTCATCATGGCGAGGCTTCGCGAACGAAGATTTGGGAAGGCTCTATCCACATTTGCTACAGGCACGCTGGTGGCTTATGAGGCCAATACGAGACAGACATATCCAATTGCAAAAGACACAACAGAAAGACTCCTTAGATGGTGTATTCTGCAATACATGGTTCTTTCTGCGTTGCCTTTTTTCCTCGAGAGTGATCCTGCGTGTGTTCTCGAAGGAGACAGCTGCGTTATAGATGGCGTGTCTCCAGGCCTCCTGATTGGAGGCCAGAGTAGACCAGTTATGGTGATCAATATGGCCAAGGCTGAGATGTTGTTTCAGGGAGTCCTTGTATCTTTTACTTCATAAGGTAGGTCCTTGTCAACCCGTTTCTCCATCCCTTTCTCTAACTGCAGCCCCTCCTTCCACCATGGCCACCCCACATTTGCAGAGGACACCAAGCTTGTTGAGGTTCCTTTTATTTAGTGTCATTAGCAAAGAGGGTTTTTTCACTGTCATTAGTGAAGGCCTGTCTCAGTAAAGACTGGTATTGATCCCCAAAGGATGCTGCTGGTGGTCAGCCGCTGTTGGACTTTGCACTGCCGATCACAGTGCTTCCAGCACAGCAGTCTCTGACTGCAACTGGCTACTGGTAGCGAAGAGTGGTGGTATTAATTATTCAGTTTTGGAAATACTGGCATTCTCAAAGTCTGAAACACATTTTTAAAGATTGTCAACTTTTTACAGAGGTACAGGCTTAGTTTTCACTTGGACTCCCACAGTTTATCTGAACGAAGAGGTAGGAAAAACTTAATGGATTGTAAGACCCAGACATTCCCACTGCTAAAGGAGCCACTAGCTATGGATATGCAGATAAACACAAGTGATAACTGACTTCCCTGTAGCTTCTGGTTTGGTTTACTGTGTTTTGTTTTCTGTGTTACCAAAGTGCACTATGGATGAGGAGCTGAAAGGAGGAGTTACAGATCCTGACCTATATACAATATATAATATCTGGAATATGTTTGAGGGAAGAAGGGTGAGAATATTTTATGTTATTGACCTAAAATCTCTCTCAGGTGTTTTTCCTTATAGTACAGCAAGGGTGCAGGCATTTAGTGTGAGATTACATTCAAGTGAGATTGACTTTTTTATGACATAAGATCTCTTGCAGTACCTGGGCTGAGACTTGAGTTCCTGGTGTTACAACAACCTGGCAGCAGTAGCAAAGTTAACACGGATTGAACAATTTTCCATCTATCAGCAAGCTTCCATCTAGTAAACAGGAGTGCTTGCTAAGTAGGCACTGCTGTTCCAGTTTCTACTGAGCATTTCTGAACGATGAAACAAATTAATTCTTAGCAGTACATGTAACACTTCAAAGTCTCAGCCATCAAGAGAAAAGCCATCAAGCTGTATCTGTTACTCTAGTAGCTGGTTTTCAGATCAAAGACATAATTCTCTGGATCAGTTCATATTCTTCTTTTACTCTGAGTCCACCTTCAAATGTATGTTCCTGCAGACAGGGGCTGAGTAATCGTCTCTCTTTAATGAGATTATAGCTACTCAGTGCACGTGTTTATAAGCCTTTTCATTTCACAACTCACAGTATAAAGTTCAGGCTAATATATAACTGATTTTAGACAGTGCTTATCTGCCAGTAGGGAAACTCGTCTCTACAGAAATACTAGTGTACTTAAAGAGAAGAGAGAAACTTGGCATAAAGAGGACAGACAGTTGACAGATTAAATGCAGTGCAGGATACAGT